GAATCATACAAATAAATGAATGTTTGTAATCATGCAGCTTGTTTCTCACTGTCCGATGTGATCAGTGTTTCAGATTCTTCTCATCTAAAAATATGGTAGTAGTATTTTAATATTAATACGATGCATATTGATCTGTGTGCAACCAATGAATTTGTTCCTAAGTTTTCCGATTGTGAACTAGTCCTTCGATGTTCAGATTCTCAACTACACCGCTGTCGTCAAACACTCAAGCCAATAAATCATTTGAACGTCCATCAGTTATTGCCTCTTTCAGTGAAATTTACCTACCTGAGCAAAAAGAAAAACCCGTTAGAAATCTGAAACTCTTAATGGGAACTGAGTCAGTCTGTTTATAGTCTTCTCAAAATAATTCGGTTAGGCGATTAACTTAATTCAGTTTCCTGTCAATCTCCTAACCAGATAGCCTGCTTAATTTACTACGACATCTTAGTTTATGAATATCTGCAGTGAACTGCTCAGTCTATTTGTTCTCTTATGGGGAACAGGTAGTGTAGTTGGCGGTTATACATCAATTGAATCGCAATAACTTATTTTCAATATTATTTAAAAAAACAAAATCACTGGAAAATTAATCCAACACACGCCTTAAAAGCCGAGACGGATGGCCGAATCAGCGAATCTGAAGGTCGTAGATTTCGTTTGACACCATAGTGAAAACGGGTATTGATTTCTCCTTTCAACATTAAGCAGCCAGATCTCGTCTGATACCGAACATAATTTTTCAAAGTAAAAGAAACCTTTTCGAATCTTCAGATGTTGGGCAACCAATAGCAAACTTTCTTATTCTACCGTGTTCAAATCTGATTTCCTAAACACCGCGACATTCTTCATTCCTTTCATTTTTTTCCCTTGAGACTAACATTTCCCCTCTTTTCTTCCTTTTTTCCCTTTTCTTTTTTTCGACAAGCGAAGTTATTGAACAAGTAGGACCTCCTTCAGTAGGACGCTTAGGAATCACCAAAAGAAACCAAGTCAAAAAGAAGCTCGTCGATGATATTGGTTGCTGTTACGCTTCCATTAGATATTTTGTATCTGTTTGTCTTGAACAGATTTTGTTAGTTTTACTTATTACGCGACTCAACGTCACATATATCACTGTGGTGATCATAACACTTTTTGCATTCGATTCGTTTTTCTCGTATTCATAGTCTTCAAACATTTCACGCTTTTTTTTTCGAAACCGACCTTCCCTAAACCTCGGTGTGACTAATCAATATGTATTCTTTCTTGATAAGCTTGCACGAGGTTGATAAATATATTTATTTTCGGCTAACGTTTCGACGTCTTCGTCTTCCTCAGAGCCGGTGATCCGAGTCCGATGGTCCATGCTTGTTGTTCGTCTCGACGTTGCGTCTTCGCCTTCGTGTCGAGCCAGATCTTCCTCAGTGAGCCACCTTCTCGAATGATTCGTAAAAAAAAAAACGTTAGCCGAAAATAAATATATTTATCAACCTCGTGCAAGCTTATCAGGAAAGAATACATATTTCACGCTTTGTTTTCGGCTGCTACTGTTTGAGAATATTCTCTTGCCCACGACTCTGGAATTTTGTGGTAGCGCGCTAGGACGTGCCCGCGTAGATTGGAGGGCGTGAGCTGATCCCTGACAACTACAGCAGCAGTTTCTCAGAGTTCAGAGGGATGACAGGTTTGGTGAGCCCGGGTGAGGTCGAACCAGAACCGAGCTCTTAATGAACGATGTCACTAATGCTCTACCCGATGGCTCGTTTTTAACAATACTAGTTAAAATACTAAGCAGGAAAGCCCAAATTTGTCATTCATTCGATATCCTCGACATTTTAGCATAATAAGGTTAGAATTTACGAGAATCGTTTTCGCTTTAACGAACTAGTTCTCCAGCAGTTCTTTTCCACGAGAAAATCAAGCTTATTGATTGAACAAGTGACATTGCTAATATTTCAAAACCGACTTTCCTTTAACCTCGGCATTACTAATCAATATGTATTGTTTCTTTGATGAGCTTGCACGAGGTTGATAAAGATGTCTATTTTCGGCTAACGCTTCGACGTCTTCGTCTTCATCAGTGCCGATAATCAGAGTCGATGGTCCACGCTTGTTACGTATTGATGTGGCGGCTCCGCTTTCGTGTTGTGTGTCCGGTCAGGTCGACCTCAGCGGGCCATCACCGAGTGGGTATACCTCATTCACCAAGCGAGTATACCTCATTAGAGGAGGTGGCCCGATGAGGAAGACCTGACTCGACACGAAGGCGAAGCTGCCACACCGAGACGAATAACAAGCGTGGACATCGACTCGGATCATCGGCTCTGAGAAAGACGAAGACGCCGAAACATTAGCCGAAAATAAATGTAATTATCAACCTTGTGTAAGCTCACCAAAGAAAGAGTACATAAGTAGCATTGCTCTTGCTCCATTGCATCTGGATACACTTTGCCGTTCGTATTCACAAAAGGAATCTGTGAAAATAAACCATCTTTGGTCCTAATTTACTCCATACATAGACTTGCTTTTTGGCTACTATAATTACCCAATTCGCCTATACGTTTTATGCTTTTCCACCAGACGTCGGATTTTGTTCCATTGTCTTCCAACTTTGGCTGTAAATTATGGATCTGTGCAGTTTTCGTTTCGTTAACATGTTGAAAACTGGTCGAGCGTAATTTCCCCTCGAAACACGAAACAGACACCAGGACGAACTCAGGTCATCATTACAGCATTGCCGGCTTTTATGGATCAGAATAAACTCTGTTACAACTTGTAACTCGAATTCTTCCAGAACGACAGAGATTTCTGTGATGCTAGGCGAATCGTGCCATTGGCTGATCAGTCACTTAGGAACAACGTTAACATGCTGAACCTCATGCCACATCTTACTACAGTAGTCAAGAAGGGCTTTGACATCTGCTCGTGTGCAACAAGCAGTATATCAGTCGTCACTGAACAGTATGGCCTTGCCAGAAAGCATCAGTTGTCCCTTCTACCGTTTGATACATCCGTTTGAATAACTTGCTTGAACCAGTTGTCGTCTGTCGATGATTTTGTCTTCTTTTTTATTTGCTTAAAAATTCTTTTTCTTTAATTCTTCTTCACTGAGTAATTTTTCCGCTAAGGGATACGACGATAGTATTCTTTTTATTGCCGTTTTTAACTGGAAAGTGAATGTGAAGTACACTATTGTTTTCCGAATAATTCCGCTTTCTCGAACAAGCAAAGACGCAACATACTTCTTTTGGAAATCTCTGATCCCGTTCAAACTGAATTTCTTGTAATATTTCGAAACCGACTTTCCTTGAACCTCGGTATCACTAATCAATATGTATTCCTTCCTTCTTTGATGAGCTTACACGAGGTTGATAATGATGTTTATTTTCGGCTAACGTTTCGACGTCTCCGTCTTCCTCAGAGCCGATGATCCGAGTCGGTGGTCCTCGCTTGTTATTCGTTTCGACGTGGCAGCTTCGCCTTCGTGTCGAGTCAGGTCTTCTTCAGTGAGCCATCTCCTCGAGTGAGGCATCCTCACTCAGTGATACCCTTTTATACACGATGCTGATGGTGGATATAATGATAATATCCGGTGATAACAACTTGTTTTTCTTCCGGACATAATCAACGCGCACATCGTGCAGAAGTCGGTGTTGTTATCAGCTAGCACAAAACGTTAGCCGAAAATAAACATAATTATCAACCTCGTGTAAGCTCATCAAAGAAAGAATACATATTGAATTTCTTGTGTTTATATTGTTGAGCTTACTCGAGGTATTCGGCTAACGTTTCGACGTCGTCATCTTCATCAGAGCCGACGATCCTTGTCGATGGTCCACAGCTGTTCGTGTTCTCGAGGTGGCGTCTTCGTCTCGCATCGAACCGGATCTTCCTCAGTTGAGCATCTCGAACGAGCCGAACACACCCGGCGACGCTCTTTTATACAGGGCGGCTGCTGTTGATATGATTATCAGTTGACGATAATTTGTTTCTCAACCGATAATCCGCCCTGCAGCAGTCGGTTTTGTTAGCTAGCAAATAGCGATTAGCAAAACGAAACTTTTGAAACAGACCGTCATTTAACCTCGGTACCATAATAATCAGCATGTGTTTATATTTTTGAGCTTACACGAATTTCTGAATTTCTAGTGATTGCTTGCTCAACGAAACCGACTACTTCTTTCGGAAAATCTTAAGGAACTGTTTGCTTTAGTAGTTCGGCGTTCTCGAGATGTGAAGCGAATCGAGCACAAAACGAATTTATTCGCTATAAACTTTAATAATAGTCGTTTAGGGTTTTATTATAATTCGAATTCTCATGTACTTAAATGAACCCGTTTCTTCAATTTTACTGATTACTGTCGAACAACGGAGGCAACTCCTTCTGTAATTTGCAGCCGTACCTTGTTTCGACAAATATCAGACGATGCTCGTTTTTTGATGACCGGCAATAGTCGGCAGTTTCACAGACAGTAGACGATAGTCGACAATGATGTTCAAAGCACTTGAGAAGTTGAGAATTTGCCAAAAACACATTTTGTCCCATTGCTTAGATTCAAAGCACAAAGTGATAAAGCGTTGAGTGTTGACAATCCCGACGGATACCTCACGATTTCATCTTCATTCGTAGCTTAGCTGAGGTGTTAAATGCTGATTTGGCCAATACAATGATTTGGACTAACCTGCTGATGTACAAAGTCAGTGCTCGCAGACAAGTCAGGCATCAATTTGAGGACCTCGAACGAATGGTAGGCTTGGTTTGCACAGGGTGTAAGAATGAAGCAACGACCAAACTTGTATAGCAGCGTATCCCTGACCACTACGTTACACGCGTTATCCGTCCAGAGCTGTATCTTATAGTGTAAGATTTTGAAGCTACACGTTCAAAAATACCATTACAAAGAGTCATTTGAACTTTTGTTCAAACATGGTGGCAAAAAACACCAGCAACATCGTCAGAGTTACCATTGTGTCCCACTGAGAAAATTAGGCATACGTAGTCAGTTATCTTTTCAAAAATGAATCATGAGGAGAAGGAAAATACCAAGTAGTTGTTTTTTGGTCTTAGAAAATTAATCAATTATACAATTACTCGATAAATTTCGCGATCGTAGAGTGATGTGATGCGTTATCGATCAATGCCGGGGTTGACAGAAGTCGGCCTTGGGAAATACGACGCTTGTTGTCAGCATTTGAGATTCAAATACTTTCTATTTTCATTAGTATAGTTCACTATGAACTGAGATTGTATGTTTAAACTAGAACCAGTAAGCTACTTCGGATTATATGTGCATGGAAATCCATGCGCATTGCAGTGGACGTGTCCACTGACAGTGTTCACGACAATGACGCAAACGCTTCGCTTTTGCAACGAATCGCATTCGATCGAACAGCAGGGGAACCCGTCCTGTTTCAATCTCATCGTCGAACTTCGTTCGTAGCCAGTCCAGTGCCCGTTGTGCTGAAAAACGAAAGTAGTTGCTGTTCCGTATATATACGCTTCGACCATCTTAAGAGACAACCACAATGATGCTGAAGTATTTTTATAACTTTAGATCGCATGTGTACGCAGTGGGGAACGAACGCTCTATTACCCTTTCCTGGCGTAATGTGTTCACCACCACACCATGCAGCTCCTTTCGTTTCGCCTTTCTCTCAGCTAGTTTTCTATCGATCCCATTAGCAATTACCCTTCAATGGGATTGATCTGGACAGCTCAAATCGGCATTGAACTCGGTTAAGCTGAGGCTGTTGAAATCAGAATGTTGGCTTTCTATTTGCTGCCTACCACAATTTTTCATGGGAGGGTATTATGCGGAATGCAACTACAATGATGCTGAGGTATTTGCAAATCTCCAGACCGCAGGTGTATGTGGTGGGGAATTAACGCGTCCCGGGAAAAGGAAATCATGGTTCGATCTGGTCCGGGTCCAAGCTTTGAAAACATCTCAGCATCATTGTGGTTGTAGTAACTGCCACGACCGACTTTCTATTAACCTCGGCATTGATCAAGTAATTTTCTTCGTATTTTTGTTGAGCAAACACGAGGTGTTATTATTCTTTGTTCACGATCAAACTGACGTTTCGGCGGATTTCGCCTTCCTCAGAGCCGCTTCCTATGAGGTTTCCACTAAGTATGTCACGTAGAGACCAACCGCACAGAAATCACATGGAAGTATAACATCATTATAATAATGTCATTATACTTCCATGTGATTTCTGTGCGGTTGGTCTCTACGTGACATACTTAGTGGAAACCTCATAGGAAGCGGCTCTGAGGAAGGCGAAATCCGCCGAAACTTCAGCTTAATCGTGAACAAAGAATAATAACACCTCGCGTTTGCTCAACAAAAATACGAAGAAAATTACTGTGGTTGTATTTCGCTGCCCTGCCATGAAAAATTGTAGTAGGCAGCAAATAGAANGCGTCTGGCCGAGTGAGTTGCTATCAACTTGACCTTTCCAGGCTCTGAAGAAGGCGAAATCCGCCGAAACTTCAGCTTAATCGTGAACAAAGAATAATAACACCTCGCGTTTGCTCAACAAAAATACGAAGAAAATTACTGTGGTTGTATTTCGCTGCCCTGCCATGAAAAATTGTAGTAGGCAGCAAATAGAAGTGTAGCATCTTAGGATATTTTGTCGATGTCTTAAACCAACTCCATCTTCATCATGAAGCTTTTTTAAATCGTGTGTGTTTCTCATAAGTTCGCTATCATACCAATCACCAATGAAGTTACTACAAATTTCGTTCGAAAAATGGCAATCGTGTGGACACGCAAGCTTCCAGGAAGCCTTAAGACAGCATATTTTTGAAGGACTATGACGAGAGTCTTGTCGAATATTTCATCGCTTTTCTCTCGTTTTTCAAGTGATATCTACTATACGGTGTTTACAGAAGGCCGACGAGTCGTAGTTAATGCATCGTCCATAGACAGCAGCTAGCAACCCAGTGATCCAGAAGCCAGAAGCCATGATCAATGTGTTCAACTCTCCCATAGAAGCGTCCACAATCGACGAGTTCACCCAGGAACGCGGTCAAGAGGCTGTCTTCGAGAAAGTCTCTCCTTAGCTGCCTTTCACATTTCATTTCATTATTTCAGCTACCGAAAAAATGACAAGAATAATGCTGAAAAAATGGAACAAAGAACGAAAGAAAAGAAATCGAAGCCAAAAGTACAAAAGACTTTGATTACTAGCGACAAGACAAAGTTTTGAAATTTCAAACAGCAGCGAGGATAAGCGGTATAAAACGTTCGGCGTTGATCAATCCATTAGGGATGCGCTATGCCTTTGACTCTATTCGTATCATCGTGGAGACGAGTGAAGGTATATCTATCTCGTAGAACGATTTTTGTGGGCCTACTTATGTACAAAATAAGCGTTTTCATCCTACCAGACAAGTCTGATAACCATCTGTGCACCCTGAAAGAATAGGCGGTTAGTTTACAGTTCGAGACCGAACCAAAGATTGTTATTGCAGGGTACTTCTAACCAATACACTCAGTGTATTTTACACGCTCATTCCTGAACATGTACTAAAGTTTGGACAACGAGCAGCGCATTACCTAGAAAAATGGCCAATTGCCAGAACAAAATTGTTCCTCCGTCAGCGAAGATCGAATAATTTTCATAATAAACAAGGAAAACTGCTTGTTGTCATGAAGAACCTTCATGTTTTCATCCCACTGCTGCATCTAACATCTGTTTCACATTGAATCCATTGTTTAAATTGCAAAAGGGATAAAGGATAAAACTCTCGGCATTGATTAATCCCTGATGGATGCGCCATGCATTCGACTCCATTAAACATCGCTTGGAGATGACTGAATGCGTATCTGGCCTTTATAATGACTCCCGGTGGCCTACCGATGTATCGAGCCAGTGTTGTTATCCTTCTAGACAAGTCGCGTACCAATTTGTCAACCCCGGAGAGATGGAAGACTTCGTGGGCCATGGGCACGGAGATCGATTCTACGTTCGTGTTGCGGGGCACCTCCAACCACTGCGCCACACGCGATTAAGTTGTGTGCATGTAAAACACATGATGTTGTAAGTGAACGAAGTGAACGCCAGTAAACTCAGATTTTATCATTTCTTAGGAGTATTAAGATCATTTTTACTAGGCTATATATTACACCTATGTCAACAGCATTCACTATTTGAAACAATCGTCATTGTTGTCCTAGCACTTAAATCGATTGTGTCTCGTTTTCAGCGAAAACGACGTCCAAAGGTCGAATACACCTCGGATGGGAGAAAGGTTCGATAAATTTCATCGTCCAAACTGTTGTCGTTAGCGATAAATTTGCTTGTCAGTTATCATTCAATGTTAAGATTCTCGATGGTGTAGTGACTGACGAGAAGACACCAGACAGTCTGTGGACAACGACGATCTCGAGGGGCGTCGCAAACGATTGGAAGGAGAAAGCTGCCGGAGGTCCTTTCTACAAGATAAAACACTATAGTAAGTGTTTTAGATTAGCTCTAGTACTTCTCCTATGAATAGGCCGTTTCCAAAAGTCACGCAGTAAGAGAAAACTGTAGGACCAAGAATATGGAAAGAAAAGAAAGCAGGCAAAAAGAAAACGAAGGAAAAGAAAGGAAAAGGAAAAGAGAAGACTCATCCTTCCTCTAGATATAACTCCTGCTAAACTCATCCCTACTGTAGATATACTTCCTCTAGAAAGCGCCAGATATGTCAAAAGCAGAAGACTAATCGCACGTTCTCTGAATAATTTCGTCCCGTTGCATGTTTTCACTTAACAACGCGCTACACTTCATCGGCAACCGAAAGTTGCTCAGAGTCCATAGTATGCGACATTTTGAAAACCTTCTTTGGACCATCTAGTCTAAACAGCACATGCTCCCATAGGATGATATTTCCAGTGAAAAATATAGTATGGTTAGACTGAGCTCAGTCTAGCCCCTTACCCAGAAGACGTATGCGTTCCCATGTCCTCTCCCTCGTATTGCGAAAGGTGTGGGTCGGTATGGGTGTGGCAGTGTGTAGAGTGAAATCGCCTATTCGTTGACACTGCTGTTGCAATGCCCTTATCGACCAGGGTGATGATTAGGCCCTATCGCAAACTCACCATCACGGAAGCGCTATAACAAGAAGACAAACAGATTAAGGTGTTTCTCTGTCAATTTCTTTTCATATACATCTGCAGAGTAAACTTGTTCATTGGAAAAGTTACATGATATGCCATATTGATCCCTTTTCTTCATCTACACAAAGCATTTAAAATCATTTTAGCGGAATAACTTTTATCTACTGCTCATTATTTTTTCACATCGCGGTACCATGTGAAATATAATCACACTGATGCTGAGATATTTGCAAAAGTTGGACCCAAGGCCAGATCGAACCGCGACTTCCCTTTCAGGAGAGTCACGTGGTCACGCTCTTCATTCTCTTTAACGAGCGATTACTGATGTAAGCGTTAGATAGAAAACTGGTTAAGAGAAAGTCATAGCAGGGAAGTGCCTCAGTGGTGTCGTGCGTGACAGGTGAGCTCCCGGAGAGGATGGTCGCGGTTCAATCTCCCTGGATTCTAGGTTTTGCAAATATCTCATCATCATTGCGGTTGTATTCTTTGGCCGGCTAAACGTATTATAAAAACAACAAGCATTCAACGAACGGCATATCAATTCTACTGCATCGACTCATGTCACCATGGTGATTGTGAATTCAATCCATCAAAATAAACCTTAATTCCACAAAGTATATCATACCTCCGTTACCCGTGCTAAATGTATTCTGCTCTGTTTTCGCTCTGAGACTCCAAAAAAGAAACACCCGGAATTCCTACTATACAGTAGCAAGAGGATAATGTAATATGTACTTTTTCAAAAATTTGTAGATGACTTATATACGCTGTGAGTACAGCGATATGACTAACACTTGAAACAAGGAATCATCGCTCTGTTCAAGTTACTTTAACACTAATGCTTCATGTTTTAGACGAAGTGAACAGCAAAGAATTTGAATCAGGGAACAGGTTGCCATCCCTTTAGCACTACCAAATTCTGGGATGTTCATTTCCGCTATCAGCATCACTCAGATGTATGAATTTAAAAACATTGTTTTCTTTTCCTCCCAACGGTTTACCTCCTCATCGTGGCTGGGAGGTGTTCCTGGGTGTCGGACTGCGATGTACAGCGGGGGATTCATCCCCTAGTATGGTCTCCCAAGCTGAGAAAGAATCCGGCGTTTCCATCAGGAAGCCTAGAATTAACAGTAAACCAATACAAGGATCCACCACCGTACTGGTATCAAAGTCGTATGGTGGTAAATCTTCCTCTGATCCACAAGGGCTGCGACTGCCTGTAGTGGTGAAGACCTGGGGCAGACTTTGGCCAGGCTGACCTCGAGATTCCACGTAACCACAATGGCTTGACTCCTAAAAATGGAGATTGTGCTGGAGCCTGAACAACCAGTGAGGAAGCCAAGCCAATCAGTGTTTTTCCTCTCAATCCGAATCAGTAAATACGGACAACAGATGAGTTACTCGTAGTTCAATCGCTTATAAAAGTCAGATTCAAACTATTTTAAGTACTAAAAATGAACGCTCGAAAACCTACAAAATCTTCACCCTGGTACTTTGAATAATTCGGAAATTCGTGGGCTAGTCTGCTTTCTGTCGATTCTGCTAAGCTACGACCACTAAAATCAGCTTTCACACGCACAATGTTCTTTTTCCGGCCGTTAATATGCAAGTGCTGGGATGTATCCGCATCATGGAAACCCGAGACTTTACGCAGTTTCCGTGATGTTCTAAAGAATTTGAGCTCATACGCACGGGTTCTTGAGATTCCGATTCTTCATTGACAAAAAAATGATAGGAATCAGTGCATTAAATGACCCCGCTAGAAGAGAGAATACGAGGAATAGCCTTCGCAAGTATCCTGTTCCGGGAACTGTAAACGGCCTTGTTCCGCAGCGTCAAGTTGTGAATAGCGAGTGTACAACATTTATTGGTGTAACCGAAACATACAGTTTGTACTGCGCCTATAAGTACTGTAAATGACATTGTAAAGCGGTCCGAGTGTTTTACAAAAACCGCTTTAATTGCTAAGAAACCCGTTAATCTCACTAAACGACGCTAAACAAAACTAAGTAACAAATCAGAAACGGTAGCACTGATTCTATTGAAAGATCCAAATTCCGTAACGGTGTACATCAACCTGGCCCTGTTTCAGCTTCAATCGTGTGCTATGACGTGAAGAGCTTCATTCATCGCTCAATACGCAACTACGGCACTCCCATTCTGCTTATCATCAATTTTTGCTTGGGTCTCACGATTTTTCGGCTCTTTAAGATTTTGTGAGCAACTCCAGTTCGTGTCATGGTTATCTTATAGTCGTGCAACTGCATAACGACTTACTTCATTTACGATTTATCGTTGTACCTATGTTACTCTTTTAGCTATTTATTTCATGAACTAAATGACGAACAACCGCAAGGATATATTATTCCTAGAAGAAAAGAAAATAACGCTGGACAAATCTTGTGATTGTGAGTTAAATGTGCACACATAAAACCATTGTGAATACAGAACCAGTAAAGAGAAATAAGACAGGAGATAGGTGGCCACACCGCATTACGAACTATATTTTCCTCATACAAGATACGTAGAGTAGGGGGACTATGGGGCGAAATTAAACTGCCACCAAAAAGGAAAAACCATTCCTATTCCTGGTCGTCCTGGATTCCCTTAAGGATAGCAGGTCCAAAGCACACTGCTACTAAACATATAGCAGACCGGTGGGTGATCAGTAGACGAGGACAACTAACGCACTTTCAGAGAATGAAAACTTATTGTCATTTAGCAGCACATTTTGGATACCACTATTGACTTCTACCACGTAATCGGATGTGCTGTGGATTTCATCGGTCTTGCTTTAGATATGTTCTCTTCATTTGCCCTGAAAAATTTGTGAGTCGATCGATTTCCTTGGCCACCAAAAAAGTCTATCATCGGCTTTCATAAAAATTACGGTAGCGTTCTAATCTGGACCCACATCATTTGGTTCCCTACGGGATTAACTAGTGATGGCGACCTATGGAGACGAAAAAAAAAGTTAGTGAATGTCAGTCAAAGTTAGGCCATCTCCACCGACTGGACGACCAATCATTGGATGAGTTAGTACAATCACCCTCAAACACATGCGCACAGTAACGCACGATCATAGACTAATGATAATAACAGTAATAATAATGCTAGTAGTAATAATAATAGTAATAATAGTAAGACTGCCGCCCCGCCTTTGTGTATGTGTGTGGCTACCCGGTGCAGCACCGGAACACGCAAGTTGCTACAACGAACATATAAAAAATAAACGATGACATCTACACATGAAACGAGAAATATAAGAAATTAATGTAACAAAATAAGGATACCAATCTGAACAACTTTCCAAAAAATAACGACCCACAAATAACCAGGTCACAACGCCCTCATTACGATCACAGTCATTTCTAATGCTCTCCAAAGAAGATACGTGATAAATGCTCACTACGTTCATCTAAGTCGTTATTCGTTCGAGGAAAAATGGTCCTCACGAGGAAAAACATATACTCGAGTAAAGAAATAAGAAAACGAGTTAGTGTAATGTATGATCTCTATCCCCTGTAGCAAGAGATACTCGTGAGTACAGCTAGAAAATGATAGGCAAACATAAGAGAATGACACAATATCTCAACGTCGAACACAACATAACAATAATGGGTAGTGCAAAGAAAGAGCCACGGCTATCTCTACCGCGGTCTGAGTGTATCAGACAGCTTCGCGCTTCACACCACAAGCAATCGAACTGAAAAGCAATCAATTCACCACGAAACGCATCGCTGACAGTTCATTTGTTTTTTGACGCAAACAAAGGTTCAAGAAGAAAAGGAGTACAAGTAAAGCCTAGAAAAAGATGAAGACGTCGAAAGCGTCAACCGATAATAAAGAATATTTATCAACCCCCGTGCAAACTTACCAACTAAAGAATAGATATTGATTAGTTATTCCGAGGTTAAACGAAAGTTGGTTTTGAACTAAAAAAACCTCGCTCAGTCGGAAGTTGCTGTATGAGCTAGAAATACAAGACAGAGAAACACATTTTTGAACTACGCAAAGGACATTAAGGACGTACGGTCAAAATATACAACAAAATATACCTAAACCATAACATGAATATATGTAAGTCATCCAAAATGGTTAAAAAAATTGTTGTATAGGGCGGAACGCACGTGGCTCAGTGGTCCGAGGCGCCCTGCAACACCCATAGGATCGATCTTCGCACCCCTAGCCCACCAACCCTTCCCCTCTTTCGAGGTTCGCAAATTGGTACCAGACTTGTCTAGGAAGATAACAGCACTGGCTGGATACATTGGTAGGCCACCGCGTGTCATTGTAAAGGCAATATTTATTCAATCACCTCCAAATGATGCTTAATAAAGTCGGGTGCATGGCGCATCCCTCAGGGATTGATCAACACCGACAACTCTATCCTCTTTTTTTATTCATAAGATAACGTGGAATGCTTCGTTTAATCCGCTAACTTAATGCATTGTTGCACCTATATAGTTTCTGTATGCAAAGCATAAGAGCTACAGGTATACGTACCTAGTAATAATCCACTACTTATCCGAAAAAATATAAAGGTTATTAGTGGCAGCAAGCGCTATGATGTTCTCCTTCGGGTGCCATGCAACATGAAGAATTTTTCGATTGAAATCTAAGGTATCGGCAGCCAAATCTTCATCGCCAACCTATAAAGTAGACACAGTTGCAGCTGCTACAATTACAAGTGTCATACACGTCAAATAACAAAACGCACATCTCCAACAGCACGACGAGCTCTTTGAGCTCGTGCACTCGTACCAGGGCAAATCTTTCGCGTACGCAGTAATGAGTGGGGTTCTTGTGGTCGTGCTTCCCACATCTTCGCATCCGCTGAACCTCGGGTATAGGTGCGAAACAGATTGTGATATGACCCAGTCAACAACTGCCTAGAAAAAAGGAGATAAATCTCTCCACTATCCAGAAAAATTTTGAATCTGAAAACGAAACCACAGTGAAGGTGAGATATTTGCAAAACTCCGGACCGCTAGTATCTGTGATGGAGACCGAACACGCCACTACCCTTTCCAGGTACTAACGCGTTCACCACCACACCATGCGAGTCCTTCATTTCGCCTTTCTCTTAGCACTCTTATTAACCTATAGAGCTACATACCTATACAACCTATAAAGATTGACGACATTCTGAACATAAATATTTCAAACTAGTGAACAAGAAACGTATACAGACGTTTAATGATGAGGCATTTGTCCACAGAAAAGTAACACTGTTTTCAAAAGTGATGGACTGACATATTATGCTAACCACCTTAAATATTTAAGTCTAGGAACGCAATGAAACGTATGCAACAAATGCTACTACGTGATCACTAAAACTAAAACCAAGGAAAATGTACCACATAGCCGGAAATCTTTCATGAGATGTTTGGAAATGGCTAAAAAACACACTGGTCGTCACCACTCCATCCGCATTCGAATTTGTCGAAAATGAAGTCATTCTCATAGAGGGCGCATAGTTTCGTTCGAAGATAATCATGGACGGCATAACTCTCAATAGGTCGACTTTCCATATTGAGATCCCAAACCTGAAAATCATAGATTAACAGCTTCAGAAAACACGATAGAAACTGGATCATATTATGACATGTACAGTAAGAATTATTATGGAACTGAAAGAAAAAAAGAAAAAATCTGAATGGGCACTTTCTTCCAGAATATCTACGTTAAAACATTTCTAAACACTTGTTACTGTTAACAACTCCAACGGTTCTTCATGAAGTCGGATGCATGGCGCATCCCTCAGGGATTGAATGGCGAGAGCTTTATCTTTGTATATATATATATATATATACATAAATATATGTATACATACATGTATATATATGTATATATGTATCACGTATATATTACATATGTATACGTATGCATATGTATACATATACATATGTACACGCATATATACATTCTATAAGACATGTTCACACAAGTTGTTTAGCTTGGATAATGACCTTAAAATTTCGATGGTTTTTATTTGAATTATTAAAAAGTCCAGTACAGGCTTGCATCATATCGCCAAGAGTGTGTTGAGGAAATTATATGAAGTTCACAAAGCCCTTTGGTGGAAAAATATGTTTTCCGAAGGATGCAGCATTTAAACAGTTTAAATAATTTGGAATACTGAGTACTGAGATGTACAGAAAACACGGTTTTGGAATATCTTAACATCTACGACGTTCAGTGAAGTGACAGCAAAACTTTTCACAAGATCACTGAACGAATCATCGTCCTTTTATTGAGCTGTTTGGCTTAATAAATGGTCTTACTCGTTCGCTAAGTTCGAATCGGACATCCTCGCAACTGCTTCATACAGCGACGCCAAGAAGGTTAATCAATTTAACAAAGCCATGAGCTCTTTCTTTGTTTACATTCAAGGCTTCGTTCAGGAACAGCGTTGTATTTTACGATAGCCGTCACTGCTTGGTGAGAAATCAAATGAAAATTATTTCTTTGGAGTGGGAAGTCATTAACCCGCTTTAAAGGCCAATATGCAAGTAACATCATGTAAAACTAGATATATTACATTGTTCTAGAAGTAACATGGAAAATATGTCAAAACTCACTAATTCTTAACAAAAATAAACGGAATGGATTCCATAACAACAACAAATTACAAGAAAAAAAGATAGAATTAAGTAGATACTAAAAAAAAACAGTGAACATGTTTTAATGAAACCGTCAATGTACATACCTAACGATTTACCGCCTCATCGTGGCTGGGAGACGTTGTTGGGTGTCAGACTGCGATGTACAGCGGGAAGATTCATCTCCACAGCTGGGTCTCCCCGGGGGAGGAGGCCTGAGTTTCCATGAAGAAACCTAGCTAAGAGTAAACCAATACCAGGATCCACCGTCCTCTTTCTACCAAACTAGTCTGATGGTGGCAAATCTCCCACTTATCCACACGGGCAGCGGCGAGTGCGTGTGGTGGGGACGACCTGGGACAGACTTTGGCTAGGCTAACCTCTGGACTCCAGGGAACCACAATAGTTAAACCAGCAAAAGTCTGACAAAGTGGAAATGGGCTCGCACAACCAGTGAAGTCGGGCCATCCAAGTATTCAAGAGAAGTATGTCTATGTACATAACAGTAATGACCAAATGTTATTCCAAACAATTTAAGCAAAGGACAGTTATAGTTTTTAAGTAGGAGATAGCAACATGGAAACGCATACCTTAATAGTCAGATAATCCCTTGTGAGTAGATAACGGCCGTTATGCGAAAACTTTATATCGCTTACGCTAGCGATGATCTCCGAAAAGAAAGAACGAGAACTTGGATCCTCAACCTCTTCATATACTAAAACCAATGAAAAATTGTGCTACATACACAAAGCATGAGGCCGACTAAAATACACACTTTTAGCGTGGTTATCACAAAGGGCACGATCCCTCATATCACAGAGACGTATAGAACCTTTACTTGAGGAGTAAACGAACCTGTAACATTACCTCATGTAAAACTTTCTGGAAAAAAATTTACAGCAAGAAACTTAAAAAAGCAACCGGAAAGTGATATTATGTAGAATAAATGAAGACTAAATAGTCACCAATTGCATTGACTAGGATGGAATTCAGCTGCCGTGATAACTTCTGTTAACTCTTCCATGTTCGTTGGCTTGATATCAACAATATCTGCAAAGGGATAAATTGTCGCTGTTCAACATTAGGGATAAAAACCAGCCCTACTGAAAGACTCATTCGTGATCTCATGATGCCACAAATTGATCCGCAAATCATCGGCAGACAGAAATGTTTCCTAAAACATAGAGATTTCCATGAACTGAACGTAATAGATCGAAACCCCAAGCTCTGAGTTTAGCAACCGCTTTGCAACCAACGTAAAACCACAACGGTCCGTTTGTAAAGTTTTTGTTGCTTACAAAAAAGCGAAGCTACTAACCTGGTCAGAATTGACAGATATGCTATTAACATGATAAGTATGAGCATTTCCGTAAACTCTTCGTGGACTCGCCTCCACAATTAACTCCATAGGCACAATGGTAGGGATTTGAAGCACACCAACAAACCTGAACCACTACCAGTATATGGTCACACCGGAAAAATTCACCTAAGTAACAGAAAATAAAACCTACTGTCCATGTCGAATATTCCAAGAATCATCAGCTACTTTCTTCTCTCGTTCGCTAATCTTCCACAATTTTACAGTTTTGTCTAAAGCACACATGAAATCCGACTATTATTCAATTTACTTAATTGGATACTTGGATGGCCCGTCTTCACTGGTTGTGCAGAACACAGCATAATTTCTATTTTTTCAGAGTTTTGTTGGTTTACCTATCGTGGTTCCTTGGATTCCCGAGGTCAGACTAGGCAAAGTCTGCTCCAGGTCGTTACCACGACAGGAAGTCGTGGCCCTTGTGGATCAGAGGGAGATTTGTCACCATGTGACTTTGATACCAGGACGGTGGTGGATTCTGGCATTGGTTTACTCTTAGTCGGGCTTCCTGATAGAAACGCCAGACTCTTCAGGTTGGTAGACCCCGCTGGGGTATGAATCCCCACGCTGTACATCGCAACCCAACAGTCTGGAACACCTCCCAGCCAAGATGAGGCAGTAAACCGTTGGGAGGATAATTCAACTTAGCACTTCAAAAAAAAGCAGCATAAGACTTCAAAAAAAAAAAAGAAAGAAAAAGAGCAGCACAACGGATAAGAATGCAAAAAGTGACGCACCATTTGTAGAAAGCACGAAATTCGCCGCGTTCTTTTTCTTCAACCACTTGATTTGGTTAATCTTCTCTTCGATTTCAAGCGATTTCAAATAATCGAATTCTGGTTCGTGTGACTGGAAGGTCGAATACACGTTGTACTCTCGCGATCGTGCCCCATTCACATATTTTCCCTGCAAATATTCTCAATAGCTCTTGCAATATACACGAATCGAATCGATAAGAGTGATAATCTATAAATGTGAAGTGTTAGTTAGGCAAGAAAAAAGTTCGCCCACAATCACCTGCTTCACATGTCAGGAATTCCAGGTATTTGTTTAGACATTACCATTGAATAAAAACATAAGGCGTCGGAGAGAGGGGACCGAGGGGAAGTGCTATCACCGACAATGTTATACATTCATGTCTAACCCTAACTTTAAGCGATATGAGCCCATTTGAAAACAGAAGTAATAATTTTACTAATAAGGTAAAGTATCTTTAAAGAAAAAAGTAAGTAAAGTAATATAAAAACTAAGTAAAAAGTTAAAGCAAAGAGAATTTTTTTACAAAACTAATAGCTGCTGAATCGGTCTATACCACGGTGGTAAGCAGAAACTGTTCTTCAGGTCGTAAAATTGCAGAGTAATAACAAAACATCAAAAATGGAAAACTTATTTCGCTGAACTTCGACTGAAATGCTCGTCTTATCTAGGGTTACAAATGGACCAAAGAAAATCGTAGGAGGACCAGAAAAATCGTAGTTTTTCTTTCAAAAAGTTTACACCAGTTAACCTGAAGTTCAATGAAATGTTGGCAACGCTAAAACACTGTTTTAATATCGACGATCTCGAATAACTATATAAAAAATACAATGAATGACCAAGAACTTGAGAACTATAAAAGCATAAAGCTCTCGGCATTGATCTACTATCACTGATGGATGTGCTATGCCTTCGACGTCATTAAAGATCGCTTAGAGGTGACTGAATGCATTTCTGGCCTCTACATTTACAATGACTCGTGGTGGCCAATCAATGTATCGAGCCAGTGCTGCTATCCTCTCAAACAAGAGTCTGGCTCCAATTTGGCGAACCCAGGGTGAAGGAAGGCTTGGTGAGCCACGGGCGCGAGGATCGATCCTGTATGTATTGCAGGGCGCCTCCGACCACTGCGCTACACGTGCCCTTGAGAACTATACGTGTCATATTCTGTCAGCCAGAGATAAACTGGAAACTAGGAACAAAGTAATGCGAAGGTAAGAATTTAAAAAAAACAATTTAAAGTAAGGACTAACACTCTGATCTCGTTGAAATATAACAACACGACCGCCCTTGTCGCCAGTAGCCAGATATTCCCCATCGTGCGAAAACTCGACACACGATATCACATCGGCTAAAGAAATATCGTCATTGTACTTGAAGAAAGTGCTAAGAGAGTTGAGTCCGGAACGAAAAAATATTTAAAAAAATCAAGTTAATACAGAAAGCAGAAGCAAAAATGCGAAAGACGTCGTCACCTTCGGTATGAGTGTCATCTCCTTCGATATTCCCTTTTACTTGGCTGAACCGCCATTCGATGGAGGGCTCCAAGGGTTCTGAGGTATCCATTGAGGTACTCGCTGGTTCATCCACCTCCATTACCATTCTCTGCAAGGAACACTGATACGGTTCAATGATGAGAAAGAAAAGCTGGAAATGATTATCATAAAGCACAATGTACGCACTGAAGGGGTACCAATAATGTATCCGAGTACGATCCGTGGCCGTCAAAGACAGGATAAAACAGACGGATTTGACGTAAGGGTAAAGGTAAGTCCTAGAACTGGATGTATTCCATAACCCGAAAATGCTATGAAAACTCACAGAACAGAAGTTGACCAAAACTTATTTTAAAAAAAGCAGTAGGAAGCTTGACATTTTTGAAAAACGTACCGATACTAGTACGAGATAAACCAAAGAGTAGTGCGTACAACAACGAAGAGATGACCTGAAATCGAACGCTTTGTGAGACATCTCTAAATCGGCGGGATGGTCGAATATCAATCTGGACACGAACAATCTCTTCTGGATAAGCGCAAACGAAAAAGTGGCGATGGCGAGCAAAAGAGCCCCAAGTGTGGAAAATGACACCGACAATGCAATTCTGATCGGAACCGATTCGGTGAAAGTAGCAGCAAGTGATTATTTGTAGTGGTCGGACGGTGGAAATCGATCGCTGGAGGTTGGGAGCATTCGGACCGCAACTGGAGAAGAAACACGCGGCGAGCGCCACGACGAGGTCGAAACGAGCACTTCGTCGTCCGACGGCGGCGAACTGGTCGCTTCGCGAAGCACCCACTAAGTCCCTAAGTCCCTAGGTGCAGTTAGTTCTCTACGTATAGAGGAAACGAAGGAAAGAAATCCGAAAACAATCCATAAACACTAAAAGGAGAAAAAAAAGCTAAAAATCAGGCTTTCAACTCAACAAAAGCCTTAGAATGAGCGGTCCAGAACATTATTGTGTTAGCTATGACCGGCTACAAAAATAACTAGACATTTAAAAAACACCTGAGTATTGAGTAGTCATTAACAAATTAACACATTTTAGATGACTTAGCCTCACCTGGACAAACAAAAAAAGTCGTCGCACTTGTGACGAAAACCATTTAAGGATGTGTTTGTCCCTAGTGCCCATGAACAGTGCATGCAAATGGACTTCAACATAATCAGAGCGCTAATAAATGGAGTCAGAGACGATCAAAATGAGATAACACCACGTTTGAAAGTCAGCGCAATCGACTATAGAACTGGTAAGAAAAAAACAAAGAGGATAAAGTTCTCGGCTTTGGCCAATCTCCTTAGGATGCCCCATGCATTCAAACTTCTTCTGCGTCGTAGAGGTAATTGAATACACTTCTGAATACCTATACAATGACTTCTTGTGACCAACTAATGTATCAACTCAGTAGTGATATCCTCCCACAGAAGCCTGGTACATTTCGCCGACCCCAGAGGGATGGAAAGTTTGGTGCGCTTAAGACGCGGGATCGATCCAATGGCAACGTGTGTATTGCAAAGGCACCCTCAACCACTACGCGATACGCGCCCAGGACGTAGGAAAATGTAATACCAAAGGTGAAATTGGTAACAGTGAGACGTTAGAACATTTCAGATTCACTGTACTCACTGTTCCACAAACCAAATTGTAGAGGATAAGATGGGCCGGAAGCCGGATGTGTAATGCGTATGAACGATAACTGATGCACAACAGCCGTTAGTGACTAGATTACCTGGAATGCCAAGCGTACTGCAGGAAGAGCACTAACTCGATGGTAAGAGTTCTTCACGAAAACCCTAAATGAAAGATATGATGTTCAACGAGTTACTCGAAGGAGCAGAACCCAGTGCGTTGCTCTTGCAAGCGGCAGAGAAAAATCGAAGATTATTGGCCCCCGCCCGAGTCATCCGACGATCAACGGGACGACAGGTGATACTAAGAAAACTATATAGAAAAGAATGACTGAAGGCGCCTATACCAGTATGCTAGTCGAAACGAACCCAATATGCCACAGATAATATGGCTGATTATCCGATGCTTGGGCTAATTCTGTTGTCGCTCAAAAGTCTTCCACCTGCAACTGGAGTGGAACAATAGGTTATAAGTGATTATGCTCACAATTCCAAAAATAAGGATGTTGAAGAATAAGTGAAAATGAAGACATAAATTGACGAATCGAAACGAATTCACTCTTAATGCAAAGAATTTTCTCACAAACTTAGAAAACATCGGAGTGTGTCACCCTTTGGGGCAATATCAAGCAGTAACTGGACGCGCGTAGCGCAGTGGGAGGCGCCCTGCAGCACACACATGGGATCGATCCCGCGCCCCAGGCTCACCAATCCTTCCATCTCCCGGGGCCGTCAAATTGGTACAAGACCTGTCTGGGAGGACAGTGGCACTGGTGCGATACCATCGATAGGCCACCGCGAATCATTGTAACGGCCACATATGCACTCGATCACCTTCAACGATGTTTAGTGAATTCGAATGCATGGCGCATCCCTCAACGATTGATCAACGCTGACAGCTTTATCCTTTTTCATCATCCAATAGATTCAACAACTAAATCCAAGAAACCTTTACTCCACTAAGTGAATTCGGACCACTTCCGTTGTAAAAGACGATATACGATGAAAACCATGAAATACGTAACGAACAGAAACTGAACTTAACAGACAGATTCTCAGCTTCATAATGGAGAATACGTTTCGCCGTAGCCATATCTAATTCTGAACTGAGGAACGGTTGAACCGATATGAAGTCGACATCATCTAACCTATCGTGGATCCTTCACGAAGAAAAAACGACTTGTCTTGTGACACTGTGGTCGGCTGAGTCACATATGACTCATAACTTTGTCGTTCATTTTCTATCCAAACATTCTCAGAAAGAGGAAATGTCAAAAACTGACTTTGTTTTCCAAGAAGTTCTTGCCTTAATTACTCCACCATGAAATGTGGATATTCTGGAACAAAGAATGTAAATTTTTTCTTCGTTTCTCGAAAAACAAATCTCTTGAACTTATGAGATGCTCTCCAACAGAACGCAGCGACATCTAATCTTTCTTCGACGCCCTATTCTTTGAAAATTTGGGACTTTAAAATTTCATAATGACGAAAATTCTAGGACTGAAGTAATATGCTAGAAAAACTATGTACGCTCGATAGAGCAGGGTCTTTCCTATAAGCCTGACAATTCCTCAAACCCTGAAGCACTCCAGTTGTTGAGAAATAATTGGTAGTTAGCAAAAAACCAGCATCGCCTCAAATCTGTTAAGGCACAAAATGAGTATGGCTTTATAAAATATACCATGGAAAAGAAAAATATGTCCAAGCGAAAGCCACAGATCTGCTGAGAAGGGGTTCGCACGCCGGCAGGACGACACCACATTTCGACGACCTGAAGCTTCTCAAAATATGGCATTTGCCAGAGCTCTACTACTATAAAAGGGACCAAGATGAAAAGGTGAAAACCCTCAGTGTTTTAATCGATTAACTTTGTGGCCCTGTCTCTCTAAGCGGAGCGATGCGCCTACAAAGTAGTGGAAGGTATGAATTCTACACAAATAGCGAAGAAAGCCGTAAAGATCGAAGAAACAACAGTCCAATGAACTGTGTTCTACGGAAAAAGTCAGTATTATGGCTTAAGGGATTATTGAGAGACGGCCTATTGATGATAGTTGTTGTTTTTGAAGAAAAACTGATCCTTGTTCTTACCGTGGTTGACTCAGGAACTGATTGAATCATCACCGGAAACCTCTACGTGGGTTGAGATTTATCTCCCTATGAGAAAGAGGCGCGTGTAGCGCAGTGGCCAGAGGCGCCCTGCAATAAACAAGGGATCGATCTCTGTGCCCAAGCCCGCCAAGCCCTCAATCTCTCCGGGTTCGGCAAATTGGCACCAGACTTGTCTGGGAGGATAGCAGCACTGGTTCGATATATCGGTGGGCCAGCGTGAGTCATTGTAAAGGCCAGATGTGCATTCAATCACCTCCAACGATGCAACGAATGAAGTCGAATGCATGGCGCATCCCTCACGGATAGACTAGCGTTTAGGGTTTTACCCTTTTTTCATTATGAGAAAGGGGATGTGTATGAGCTTCTTTGTCCCAAAAGACATGGATGGAACCTCAAATGAACTGGAATGAGCACACCTTAGTCCATAAAGAAACGTATACAGGGACAAAACTAGACCCCATCAGGAATCCAGCTTTACCACAACTTGGAACAAAAAGTTCTATGAACCAACAGATACAATAGAAAAGAAATAGAATACTGAAGACGGTAGGAAAGAACTAGACCGTATTCCAGGTTGCCAACTGGTAGTGACAAATAAACTAACCCAAGAAAAACTATGCAGAACAAATGGTAAATAAGTACGAGACTTTTAAAATCGAATTTAACGATTAATGTAGGAGCTCAAGAGGGCAAACGTGTTCCTACGTGTTCCTGAGAAATTAAGAAAAAATGGAATAAGAAAACGCCCACACAAAGTAAAATCCAGAATACAAGCTCCAGAGGACGGCGATAACCATTCGAACGTTGGGTGATCACGACGACCATCAAATTTCCAGAAATCCGAACAACAGAAATCATACTGTCTCACTAAATTTTCTAAATTCAAACTTTTTGAAAATTCCATTGGACTCATGAGAGCTCTTGTTACTGCTGGAGAGTTTTAAAACTTCGACAAAGCCCATGAGCACTGTAAGATGTGTCAGTACTACACTAATAGAAAACTTTTAACACATAACCATCAGATGGGAAACGACAAAGCACTTGAACAAAAGCTTTGACCGTACTTGTTCAACGAACAAGGGATAAAAGTAGCTGAGTGGAACTATGAAGAACACACCTTTTCTGTACGTCAGTACCACTGAATGTGGCGTGCACCTGTTAGCAGTACAGGTAAGAACAAAACAGTACACTTTGACGTTTGGATTCATGTCTGAATGTTAGAAAACCTAAGGAATCACGAATCTTCTCCAGAACAAGAAAGCACATGACAAACCAGAAAGCTCTGGGTGTAACGGACAAAGCTGTGGCAGATGACGTCATACTTTTTAAAAATAGAGTACTGATAGGAAAAAACAACAACAAAACAG